ACACGTCCTGAATTGCGAAGACAAGACGATGGAAAAATTAAACACCCTCTTACGTTGTAGCGTCTGTGTGCTTTTGCATGTGCAACGCTGGAAGCGTTTCTTAAAACATTCATTAATGGGGCATACTACTCAAAAAAATGTATGCTTTGGGAAGGAGCATCATGATACTACAGGTACATGCCTACATATATGTACGAATACATACGCAAACAGAAACACACAGCAACACTTACACATGCTAAACTGGGGCAGACGGTGGAGTAATGGACCCCTTCACATGCTCATCCCAAGGGAAGACTTTGTTTTGGGCATTGCTTTTTATATGGTGTGTGTGTGTGTGTGTGTGTGTATTCTTGCACATCTGTTTCATGTGCTGAGTACACAAGTGAACAAAAGACTGCTCGTCTGAGTGTGTGTCTGCATGTGTGTACAGAGGTAAGATGAGGACAAGGAGGTGGGTGCTGTGTTGACAGAAACAAAAATATTTTCACTGTTAGAGACCTAGTCTACTCACCTACACATGCATGCTTTACACATAAGAACAACCAACAATGCACTCCCACAGCCTCATCAGAAAGCCACAAGTATGCCATCATTTCTATTAACCCATATTATACTGGATCATTTATCATTATTAATAATATCCATAAAGTGCAAAATAAATTTGTTGCATAAATTCATACATTACATTTATAAAGTATATGTTAAAGTCTATTTAATGTTCATTTATATTTATATTATATTATTGCATATATATTTTATTGCATATATTTATATTTTAATATATAATAGCAATAATTTTTAAAAAGTTGTTTATATTTGCACACGTTTTAATATATTATTAATAATTTTTTTAAGTATAGATTAATATTTATTTTTTATATAACTGTTTATTTTTATAACCACTAATTAAATTTTCTCTGTTCTATAGGTAAGCATAACCATCATTTTTAGGCACCCCCTAGGGAACATGCACCCCTGGATGGGAATCACTACCATAAATAAAGCAAAGTATGTGGTAACCTGCTCTGCCCCAGTTGTGAAGGACTCCCCCGGTTCACAGCAGCAGTGCCTGCTTCTGACAGATGCCAGATCTAGCCACATGACACTCCTCCAGAAAAGTAAATCCCCCAAATATTTAGCACAGAACACACAATCGCATATACTGTAAACACACACACACACACACAACCATTCCAATGCCCCTCTACCTGTCTTCCATGCTAAAAGCAACAGACTCTCTGACCTGAAAGTGTTTCCATGTTAGACTGCAACAGATATGACATATTGTGCAACCAAGCAGACGACAGAATGAAATATTTGACTTTTTACATAGCGGAAGCTATTTTGGACCTAGCAGACACAACTCGTGTGATGGTGTTGTGAACGTCTCTGGTCACTCTTCTGTTGCTTTTAAATTCACTAGAAACCTCAGTGCCTGAAGAGTTCATTCTAATGTACATCTAACCCAGCTCTCCCTTAATAATTCTGTCTTGCTTCACATTAGCGAACATTCATCTTTATTCATCAGTACTTCTTCACCCACCCTTCCCACATCTCATTTGATTTAAGCCTAAAACAGACATCATACTGCTACTCAGATGCAAACATGCCATAAAAATTAAATTCGGTCCTTTCAGGAAATCTACAGTGTAAAGCCTGAGCTAAAGAACTAAAGAGAAAGAACTAAAGCCCAACCCGAAAAATGAGCTTTACAAGAAAACATCTGTCAAAGTCTAATCAGAGCCACACAAACAGTCTATCCTTCTGTCCAACACACTCACATATTTCTCCTCGGTTTCCAGATAAATCCTGAAGTCTCTTAAGGTCATATGATGTTCTCTCTATCCTGTTCACAATTGCACTTCTATTCTCTTATTTTCCAATTCCACAGTCTTTCAAACTATCTGCTCATTATCTTATTACGTTCATTCGAATTCACCTTTTTTTCCCCGCTCTTTGCTCATCTCTCTCCCTTTCTTTCCCACATGCCGTTGTCATATTCTGTTTCATGAAATTAAAAAATAAAATAAATGAATGAGAGCTTAGCGGCAGGGAGTCGGTTAGAGATGGAAACAGAGAGACAGTAGGTATTCTCTTACCAGCCACTAGAAGTCACTCGTATTGTGCTGCGTGTGTTTGAGTGCAGTTGCTATAGATTTTAGTACAGGAATCTTTAACAGGGGGTCTGTGGTGGTACTGCAGGGGGTCTCATTTTTCAAGATAAATGTTAATATATGAATGCAATATTTTAAAACAATTCAATTATAATACCTTATTTTTATTATTTATATTATGACATTAAGTTAATTTAATAAAAGTTTATTCAGCTAAATGTATAACTCACATTGAAACGCATTAGCCTTAGCAAATTTAAATGCATGTACAAGTATATGATTCAGCTAATACATGACTAATAGCTATGCAATGAAAGCATCCTAAAGTATGTAGATACATTAATACAATACTCCAAATGTATTTATATAGGCCAAGTTTATAATGCAACAAACAATTTCAAGGGGTCATATGATGCTTTTTTAAAGATCATTATTTTGTGTATTTGGTGTAACAGAATATGTTGACATGCTTTAATGTTCAAAAAACACATTATTTTTCAAATACTGTACATTATTGTAGGTCCTCTATGCCCCGCCTCTCTCAAACACGTCGTTTTCAACAAAGTCCCTCCTTCCGACAAGCGCAGTCTGCTCTGATTGGCCAGCTGACCCAGTGCATTGTGATTGGCCGAAGCACTCGTCGGAAATGTAACGCCCCTTACCATAATCGCGAGCTTCATCTTTCAAAATAAATGTAAAGACAGTAAATAATGTCATTAGTTTTACCATCAGTTCAAGCCTGAAAGGGGAACAGACACAGTAATGATGCAGTACACAAGCCGCGGTTAAGACAGCTGACTCTACTGTGATGTGACGCTGTCTCTCTCTCTCTCACGCACACACACACACACACACACACACACACGATGCGCAAAACTCCGCATTTGAACAGTCAATAGCAAATACTTAAACTAATAACAAAACAGTAGCTGATTCAGAAGCGCCAGATTGTCATAGCAAAGTCAGAATTACCTCCTCTCCTAGGTTCACGAAACGGTCGTCCATAAAATGCATTGATGTTCTGTTGTAAGTAATCTTAAAGATTACTAAATGCATCTACTTTCGGAAGGCCAAATAAAGTACTTTTGCTTTCGCCTAGAAACACACAG